TTTTTTTTTTTTTTTTATTGGTTTTGTTGGGGAGGAGTCTCAGCTCCCCCCAGCCTGGATACCGGGAATTGGGGTGGTTTTGGCAGGGCCCTTCCCTCCTTCTGCCCCATCCACTGCTCTGGGGATGGGGAAAAGAGGGAGAGGGGGTGTTTCTGTCCTGGAGAGCTGCCAGACCCCAACTATTTAACATTTTTTTGTGGGGGGTGTCCAGTCTGGCTTGTGCCAGCTCCAAACCCCCTGTCCCTGGCGGGGACTGGAGCAGCCACAGGAGGAGGTGAGGGGCTGGGCCGAGGCGAGGGGGGGTCCGGGCAGCCCCCCCCGTTCCGGGAGGGGGTCGCGTGTTGCCAAAGCCTCTGAGCGTCTCCAATAAACCTTCTCCTGCACCTCTGCTCTCGTCTGCCTCGTCTCTCCCTGCGCACATGTCCGGGCAGCTCCGGGCGCCCGCCTCGCCTCCCCTCCCATCCCGGGGTGGGGAGGGGCTCCCCCGGCGCTCTCGGTGCCCCCCTGACCTGCGGCCCGTGGAGGGGCTCAGGGCTCTGTGCATCCCCGGGTTTTGGCAGCCCCACGCTGGCCTGGCTGCTCCATCAGGTGCTCAGAGGTCCCCAAAGTCCCTGACCCCTCCGCCCTGGTACAAGCCCAGGGTTCCCCAAAATCTGCCGCTGGCACCTCTGGGTGGGTCCCCAGGTCCTCCCCCATGGTTCCTCTGAGTCCGGGGAGGAAAATCCACAAAAGCTGCCTCTGCAGCGACACGGGACAGCCCTGGGGTGTCGGTGGGGTGGGGACGTCCCTCTCAAGGTCCCGACGCGCTGGGACAGGTGAAAGCTCAGCACTTCTGGCCCTGGCACGGGGCCACGGCGAAGGGCGCAGCTCCCTCCCCCTTCCCCCCGCCAGCGCGTTTCAACATGAAAAATAATTACAATAAAATACAGTCACGGCACCCTGGGCTATGAGCTCACCTGAGCCAGCAGGGCCGGGCGGGAGCGGCCTTTGATGGGAGCTCCGGGGTGCCGGGAGGAATCGCGCCCTGGCTCAGGACGTGCTGCCCCGCTCCAGCGGGGACAGGGGGGACGCGCCAGTCCTGAGCCCTGGCGTGGCCAAATCCCGGCCCGGGGGGTGCCAGGAACCCCTGGGCATTGGGGAAACTGAGGCACAGGCGGGACGTGACCCCCTTGGTGCGTGCAGGAATTGTGGGGTACCCAGGGAGCGAGGGGCTGGCCTGGGAGGTCATGAGGTTTGCCAGGGCTCTGCCGTGGGAGGTTGGGCTGCACAAACCATCCACGCTCAGCACGGATGGGACACCTGGAGCAGATCTCAGCAGAGGGGACGAACCCCTGTGAGCCCCCTGGTGACCCCCAGCCCCATCACAGCATCCCCCTGCTGCTGCCGTGGTGGCTCCGTGGGGGTCCCCAGGTGTCAGGGCCCACGGAGGGACCCCAAAGCTTGGCCTCCACCTGGCCCCAAGCACTCCCAGCCTGGGAACAGCCCCAGACCTGTAATTACCCAAAGCGGGGCAGCCGACGGGAAAAGCGAGCCGAGGGCTCGCGCTGGCCCCTGACCCGCCGGCCTGGGGCCACCCGGACTGGTTAAACTGGAGAGTGGCAGGCTCAGGGTGAAAGTGCTGCTGCCCAGGAAGGGGTAACTGGGGGTGTCTGTGCCTCCCCGGGGCTCTCCCTGGCTCCCAGGAGTTAACTGATTCCAGCAGCTCCAAAGCTGCGGCGTGGCTGGGCCGTGTAGGAGGACGCAGCTCCCCGCTCCAGCCGGTCCGGCAGCTCCTCCAGACTGGGAAGGAGGGAGGCCCTGGATCTCCAGGACACTCCTGTGAGAGGGTTGTGCTGCTGGGGAGTTCTCTGGAGTCCTTCTGCTTTCCATAGGATGGTGGGACCCAGCTGGAAAGACCAGGGAGACATCGGGACCTCCATCCCCGTCCTTGTCCCTGTCCCTGGCTGTGGAATGCTCTCGGCATCCCTGAAGGGGCACCCAGAAAAGCTCTCAAATAAATCAGTTTTATTGTCTTAAACACCATTAGAGCAGAGGGACTGGGTGCCCCAGGGCCGAGGAGTGTCCCCAACCTCACAGTCACCCCCCAGCAGGGTCCTGGCACAGCCCCCACACAGGGGCTGCGAGCCATGGGGAAAAGGCCACCAAAACAGGTCTGTGAGGGTGAGCAGGGATGTTCTGCTGCCTGTCAAAGGCTCTGCACATCCAGAGTGGGAGCTGCAGGAGCCAGAGCCTGGCCTGGCCTTGTCAGCAGCTCTCCCAGCCTCCCCCCAGGGCTCTGTGCCCGGGGCTGGGGCTGGCTCCAGTCTGGGCACCCAGACATGGGGCGTCCGTGGCCCTGGGGAGTCCTGCCAGGCTGGCCCCACTGCCTGCTCTGGGGGCTTTGGCGTTTCTGAAGAGGCTTTTTATCCCCATTAGAAAGCACCACTTGATGGGGAAACAGCTTTTGAGCAGGAGTTCTGTGATGGAGCAGGAAATTAGAGCTGGGAGCCGGGAGGGGAGCCAGGAAAGCGCAGTTCTGTGGCTGGGATTGATGCTCAAATCCCCCCAAATTCCCCCTCGCCAGCTTCAGTCTCACAGTCAGGGTGGGCTCAGCAGGTAGGACCAGCTCTGGCCCCCTCCCAGGGATGTGCCTGCCTTGGGGTGACTCATCCTGGCCCTTGGCCCCGCCGATTGCTCAAGGCAGCGACAGGAGCCAAGGTGTCACCTCCCTCAGCCTGGCCGTGTCCCCTCCCAGCCCAGGGATGTGTGAGGCAGGAGCAGGCTGGGTTTCACCCCTGCCTCTCACACCAGGGCTCCAGCTCCTTTCCCAGCTCCTTTCCCAGCTCCTTTCCCAGGCCGCCCTGAGCAGAGCAGAATTGTCCCCCCTGGGCCGTGGGTCCCTCTCAGCCCCGGATTCATCTGTAAGAAGTTCCTTGGTGCAAAACCGCTGCAGTTTTGGGGCTGGAGCTCCCTGAGCCCTCACCTGGCCTGAGCTGAGCGCTTTCCATCCCAGGGCTGAGGCTGCAGATATCCAGGGCATTCAAATAAAAAAGCCAAAAAGCCACAAAAGCTTTGATGGCTCTTGCATAACTCAGCCTGACCTGGCTGTACCCTTTTAAGCCACCAAATCTCTCAAAGCCATGAAAAAGCCACTATAAAATTAATATTTTTATGATCCCGTCTCCCACCCCTTCACAGCAGCTACAGAGCTCCAAAATGACCAGGACAAGGCCAGGAGCCACAGGGTGAGGATGGGATTTCAGCTCAGTTTTGGTTAGATTGGCTTCCAGAGCTTCAGCACTGAAATGTAGCTGCTGGGTTCCAGCCAGGGAAATTCCTGGGCTCTCGGGAAGAGCTGAGGCACCGGCAGCACACCGGGGTTTGACTCTGAAATCTCAGTTTCATTGGGAAGGGGTCTGGGTGAAGCACAAGCACGTGTGTCTGCACCCTCCTCTCCTTGTCTCCAAATCCTGGCCACAGAGTTGGGAGATGTGGGAAAAATTCACTTTAATTCCTTGTCCAGCTGCTCAAGACCCCGCTCACATTTAGATCCATCGAGGATCCAGTCTCCAACCCCTCTGCCAAGAGCCAAACCATCCTGTGAGAAAATCCTGTTGTACTTTATGCAAGATCTTGGGCAAGAGGCGATGCTGAGTCTGCAGGGAGCCGGGATCAGGAGTCTGCTGCCGTCCCCAGAGGCACCGGGAGCTCCCTGATGTGACAGCCCCGGTGTCACCCCCAGCCCTCCTGAGCCTGCAGGATCAGGGATCAGAGCGGGGCACACGAGGCGAGGGCAGGACAGCGAGAGCGAATTCCACGGGCAGGAGGGGAAGCCCCAGGATTTGGGACGTGGAGAAAGCAAGGCCAGAAGAAGGAAGGTGGATGAGGACACGCAAAGCTGCTCTTGGGAAAGGCCCGAGATGCAAACCGCGAGCTGACTCACACAGGGGCTTTCTTAATCAAAAGCCTCCAAAAGCCGAGCTGGCGTTAGGCTGCTGGATCAGCACAGGGAGCTGCTCTCTGTGCCACAGCCCTGCCTCCTCCAGCCAGCACCGAGCCTGTTCTCAGGCCCTGTTCTCAGGCACAGTTCAGTTCTCAGGCACAGTTCTCAGGCACAATTCAATTCTCAGGCACAACAGCCAGGGACAGGTCCCGGCCAACGCGGAGCCGCCGCCGTTCCCACCGCAGGCGCTTTGGCCTCAGGCTCTGCAGCACTCTTGGGTTTATTTATTCAGCTTCAGCAAACTCCTAAGATGAAAGTGAGACCGAGGAGTGTTTTATTAAGAAAGAGTCCATCATTATTTCTAAGAAAAAGAAAAACAAACATCTTTGTGTCCTTGAGACGGCGTGGAGGCGTCTCGGCCTGGATTCTCCTCGGAGCACGGGGCCCACGCACGCTCCTCCTGCAGCAGCCCCAGGACTGCGGCCTCAGCTCTCGCTGCACATCAGGCAGCTCCAGATGATTTTGCTTTCTCTGGATCTGTCTTGGTCATGATGGAGACTTTATCTTGCTTCTTTTCCATGCCCTGCCTGCCTTCCCTGGCTCAATCTCTGTTGCTGAGACCCTCAGCCACCTCCCCTCTGCCAAATCCCTGCTCTGGGCAGCAGGCCTGAAGCTTGGCAGGTCAAACCCACCCAGAGAGCGAGTCCAGACTGCCTGGAGAGGCTTTCAGGTGCTCTGAGTCACAGCTGAAGCTCCGGGTAGGAAAAGGAGAGGTGTCAAAACAGAGGAGCCGGGGAAGGGCGTGTCACAGATCCATCACCTCCTCTTCCACGGCTTTGTCCTGAGATTGCACATACTTCTCCTGCACTGCCAGGGTGCTGATAACGCACTAATTAAGGAAAACGAGGGGCTGGGCTCAAACACTCCCTTCTGCAGGAGCTCCGAGTTCCCAGAGAGGAACCTGCCCAGCCTCACATTAGCCCGAAGGCCATCAGGAAGAGGCAGCATCATCTGAGCTACTTCTGGCTCTGCCTGATCCCAGCAAGCCCAGGAGAATCAATTGTACGGTTTGAAGGAGAAGGAAAGAACCCATCCAAGGGAGGGTGAGGGAGGAAAGTTGTCAAAGGACTCCTGACACATTCAGGGTTTCAATCAGCAACAGCTTTGGTGGTTTTGGTGAGGACAAGTGTAAACCCAGTCCCCACTCTATCACCCACCAGGTGATGGCAACAACCACCTGGGCCTGCAAATTCCACCTTTGTCCCCCAGCGAGAGAGAAATTTAACTCAACAGCACAGAGGATACGAAGAGAAGTGGAAATCGGCCCCCACAGCTGCCGACATCAGCGCCTCCAGGCTCCGGTGCTCCTGGTCCCCGAAGGAATATCCATTGGCCTTGTCCACGGCCTGCATCACCTGCCGCATGCTCTGCTTGTCCTGGGGAGGGACACGGCTCCCTGGGCAGCTGCTCCTGCCCCACAGGCAGCAGGGCTGGGCTCTGCTCCGCCCGACAGCGCCCGAGGCCCCGCGACACCAGCAGGGACAAACAGGGACACTGGTGACACCCTCCACCCTCTCATTGCCTTTCATCACCTGGCCCAGCCCATTTGCCTGCTGACACTTCTGCCAGCTGCCTGATTAAGGACATTTCCAGCCCTCCCTCCCCAGTGTATTCCTCCCAAACTTCTCATTATTCGCTGCCCCCTAATTTAACACGGTTCTGGGTGATCCTCAGCCCAGGCCAGATGAAGGAAGGGGAGCCTGGATTCCCCACCCCAGGACACAAGGCCCAGGTAGCCCCAGGCTCATCAGCCTTTCTCCTTCCTTTGGCTGCCACAGATCATTTCCAAGCCTGGGTGTGTTTCCCTGTTTTCCCAGCTCTGAGTCTGTTCACAGCTGAGGTTTCCAGCCCTGTGGCTCCCAGCAGACAAAAAGCAGCTGCTGCACAAGCAGGGCTCCCTGTTCCCTCCTGCTGGGTCACCTGGACGTTGAGTGGCACGAAGGACACCAGGCTGTAGTCCTCGATCACCTCCACCAGCTTCTCGTTGAGGCGGCGGAAATTCCTGAAGAAGGGATCGGAGGCCAAATGGTCAAGGAGGTAAGAGAGGTCCAGGACCTCGGTGTAATAGTCCAGGTTGAAAGCTGCAGGGAAACAGGGAGCTCTGGAGGCAAGCTGGAAGCTGAAGAGCACAATGGGACCCACAGAAGTTTCCCCCATTCTCACCCAGCCGATTGGTGCCAGTTGCACATCCCTCCCCCACAAACTCCTCTGTCCAAGGCCAGAACGGAGCCCTGAGCCACCCTGGCCAGTGGAAGGTGTCTTTGTTGAGGGAGGCAGCGGAGGTGAGGTTTGAGTGCCTCCACCCTGGCCAGTGGAAGGTGTCTTTGTTGAGGGAGGCAGCGGAGGTGAGGTTTGAGTGCCTCCCCCCGCAGCACGCTGTGGCTCTGGGGGATTCCCTTACCCAGCTTCCCGTACTGCTCGATCAGGTCCATCTTGGAGAGGACATTGACGTGGGGCAGCTCCACGTGCAGCATGGTGGAGAGGGAGGTGCAGAGCACGGAGATGAACTTCCCGGGATCTGTGCAGTAGTGGGAATCCACCAGGTGCACGGCAGCCAGCTGAGAGCAGAGGCACAAAGGGACACACACGGTCACACCTGTGACAAACCCGTGGGACAGCGGCCACAGGACCTGACTGCAGCTCCTGGGGAAAGCAGCACCCAGCTCCCACCCCCTGCACACAAAACACAGCAACAGGGAATCCTGGAATGCTTTGTTTCAGAGGGGACCTCAGAGCTCACCTGGCCCCAGCCATGGCACCTTCCACCATCCCAGCCTGGCCTTGGGCACTGCCAGGGATCCAGGGGCAGCCACAGCTGTGCCAGGGCCTGCCACCCTCACAGGGAACAATTCCTGCCCAATATTCCCACCCAGCCCTGCCCTCTGGCACTGGGAGCCATTCCCTGTGTCCCGTCCCTCCAGGCCTTGTCCCCAGTCCCTCTCCAGCTCTCCTGGAGCCCCTTTGGGCCCTGGAGGGGGCTCTGAGCTCTCCCTGGATCCTCCTCTGCTCCAGGTGAGCACATATCCAGGTGTATAAAGTGTCCATTGCCACATTCCCACCATGGATGGGCTGTGGGGAGGCTTTTAGAGCTCCACCAACAGCACCACAAGAAACTCCAACCTGCAGCTGCTCCCCCTTTTCCCAGGGTTTCTCTCTCTGCAGCTGAAGTTTCCACACTTGTCTGGACTCTGCAGGGTTTTTGGGGTGGCAGCTGGGGCAATCCTGAACAGCACAACTGTCTCCAGATCCCCCCAGCACTGCCCAGGCCCACGCAGGAGCAGTGAGTGCAGCACACCTTCTGCTGGGAGACTCGACTGCGGTTTGCACTAATGATTAATAGTTACACTAACGAGCAGTTTGATTCCCTGGGTTTTGTGTGGCTGGAACAATGTGGTCCCAGAGCTGGGGAGGTCACTCCAAGCCAGGGCTCTGAGGGTGAGTCACAGCAGCAGAGCCCAGCCAGTCTGGGGCTGCCAGGCAGGTGTGAGCACCTGGGAGAGCAGAAACCAGCCCTGTAAATGCCTTATATTAGCAACTCCAATTCCATGTCCACTTATTCCAATGAAAACAAGCTCTAATGTGCAGATTCCCCGTGACATTCTCAAGCAAATGAAGTCGCCCTTCTTGCTCAGAGCAGCCAGGGTTTGCACGGGGATGGTGCAGAGCTGATCTCAGCTGCAGCTCCCGTTGGGCAGGAGCCCAGAGCACGTCCCACGGGCTGCAGGAGGAGCCTGGCACGTCCCCTGCGTTCCTCAGGGCAGCACCAAGGCACCCAGCATGCACACAACCCCTCTCTGGATAAAACAGGAGGTGCTCCTTGTCCCGTCCCTGTGAATGTTCAGGGACAGGCTGGAGTTACCTGGACTCCTGAAGGTGTCCCTGCCCACGGAATGGGCTGGAACAAGATGGGCTTTGAGGTCCTTTCCAACCCAAAGCATTTGGGGATTTTGTGCAAAGCGTGAGGAAGGGATCTGTGTTCCTGCTCCCAGCCCCACTAAAAGCCCTGACAGGCCATTCCTTTGCCAATCTCTCCCAGCAAGAAAAAGGGTAAAATTCCACTCCTCCCCTGGTAAAGCCCCTTCCCACGAAAGGCCAAGCAGCTCCTGAAGACAACCACGAGCACCCTCAACCCCAGGGCTGCCAGGTACTGACCCAGCCCATCCCTACCCTGAAATTCCACTTGGCCAGCTGGGCAAAGACGTTCTTCAGGGCCTCGTGGTGGGTGTAGAGCTCCACCTGCCCGGGGCAGTCGAAGAGGACGTAGTGTCCCCGCAGGCCCTGCAGCCTGTCCCGCAGCCAGTCTGCGTTGGCCTCCAGGTACTCCATGCAGTAGATGAGGCCCCCGTTGGGGCCCAGCCCCAGGCTGCCCATGACGTCGGGCAGGGTGACGAGCTCGGCGATGTCCAGGGCGCAGGGCCAGGGCAGCGCCTCGTTGGCCGGGTCCAGGTTGACCACGGCCACGCTGCGGCCGATTCGGCTCAGGAAGTCCCGCATGGCGTGGCAGTAGGTCGTCTTCCCGGAGCCCGGTGGCCCGATGACCACCTGGCCAAAGGCCAGCGAGCCGCCCCTGCTGCCCTCAGCCATGGTGGCTGATCCCCGCCTCGGCTGAGGGGGGACAGCGGCTCCTCAGCGCCTGCCTTGATGGGGATGGCTGAGGCAGCGAGCGAGGAGAGCCTGCGGGCCCATTCCTGACCCAATCCCTCCTTCCTTTCTCTGCTCACATCCCCCTCACCATTCACCATTCCCTTCCCCAGCACCCCCTTTTCCCCAGCACCCCGTGGATCCCCACGTCCCTTGGTCCCCGCCACCCCATTTAGCCCCGAGATCCCCTCGCGTCCCCTCCTTCCTCACTCCCGCTTCCTCCCCACATCTCCCCTCCTTGCCCAGACCGCTTCAGCCCCTGATGAGCCCCCCGGTCCCGGTAATTCCCCCCTGTCCCGGTATCCCCCCGTCCCCGCAGGCCGCTCACCGCCGCCGGTGTCCCCGCTGTGGGTCCGGGTGGCCGCGGGCCCCGAGCGCCGCGTTCCGGGCGCGGAGCGGCCGCCGGTGCCACAGCGCCCCCTGGCGGCCTGGCGGACTCGAACCCGCGGCTCCGAGTCCGGGCAGGGTCGTGGGTTCGAGTCCCGGGACCCGCTCTTGTCCCTCCAGCGTAGCTCCAGCCCCGCTTTTTCCAAACCATAGAATCAACTGGATTGGAAAAGGCCCCTGTGTCCATCGAGCCCTACCTCTAAACACCACCATGGCACTGAGTGCCACGCCCAGTTCTTTCCTTAAACACCTCGGTGGACAGCAACTCCACCAGCTCCCAATGTCTAATCCCCCCTTCTGTGAAGAAATTCTTCACAATGTCCACCCTAAACCTTCCTGGAGCAGTTTAACACAATGTCCCTTTGTCTTGCCACTGACTGACGAGAAGAGCCTGGCTCCCACCTGGCTACACGCTCCTGGCAGGTAGGAGGAGGAATTGCTCCCCGCATTTTCCCCCTGCACCCCTTAAGGAAGTCACACTCAGCCCTGCAGCACACAGGGACGGAGCTCTCCCCTCTGCCTGGGCCAGGCGAGCGGGGCAGAGCAGCCTGGAAAGCACCGCTACCCACAACCCCAGGGCCTCCCGAGAATTCCTCCGCAGGCTGCCAGGACTTTCATCCCCACCTTTCATCCCCACCAGCTTCCCCAGCAGCGTGGGACGGCCACGCCCGAGCAGCAGGACAGTTACCGTGCCCTGTCTGTACTTGTCCTTTCCTGGCTCTCAGGCCGCCCTCAACTGCGAATTCTGCTTTTTCATCCTCACTAAACACACACGTGGCTTGATCCCAGCACGAATATAAGTTTCAACCCCCCAAAATCCTTCCCCATTCACACAGAACACCATTTCCTTTAATCTGAAGGGCTCGGTTAATGGGGAAAAGAAAAAACCCACCGTGGTAGCTTTTGTCACAAATCTGTATTTTTACTAAAAATAAATCTATAAAGGCCCTGCTTCACACTGAGGCCAGGAGCCAGCCTGGACTGGGGAGCAGGACAAAGGCTGTGCTCAGCGTGGCTGGGCTCTGAGGCTGCCCAGGGCGGGGTGGGACGCTCGGACAAAGGCCATGTCCTGTCTGTACTTCATGGCCGTGGGGGGCTGGCGCCGGAGCAGCTGGTCACCCATGTCCTGGGGCTCGGGCTCATCGTAGATGGTGGAGATGACAACAGAACTGTCCCCACGGGGCTTCTTCCTCCTGATAAAAGTTGGCAGCTTCTCCCCGTGGTAGCTGGAGGGAAACAGGAAAGGTTTGGTTGGAGGGGCCATCAGACATCCCTGTGCTTCCCAGCTCGTTTCCTGGAAGGGTTTGGGTTGGAAGGGACCCTAAAGTTCCACCCCCTGCCACGGGCAGAGCCCTTCCACAGAGCTGCACGTGGTGCCAGCCCTGCTCCGCTGAGGGAAGAGCAGCGTGTTCGGCTATGGAGTGCTGTGGGATTCCCCAGCTGCGCAGAGAAAGGTCCCTGGGACAGCCCTGACCCCACACAGCTCCCTTTGCACCTCTCAGCTGCCGCGAGCCCTGGGAACAGGAGCTGGGAGGGCCCTTGGGTACTCACCCCAGCCCCCTCTTGCACCGGGGGTTCTGCCCCTCGTTATCCAGAGCTTCGGCCATCCCAGAGTTGCTGCTCCCCAGGCCCAGCCCCTCTGTCCAGCCCTGCTGCTCCAGGACCTTCCTGCCAAAGCCCTGGCAGAGGGAAAAAAAAACCATCACACGCTTGCTGAACAAGAGCTCATCTTCCCAGAGCCTTCTGCCCTCTTCCCGCAGACCTCTCCACCTCCTCACCCACGTCCTGTGGGCATCACCCTGGCTCAGCCCTTGCTGCCCTGAGCAGGCACCAGAGCTCACCTTGGTGTGTCTCTCGAAGGAGCCGACGTGCTGCCCTGCCACAGAGCCAACCTCCAGCCCGTCCCGCAGCCGCTGCTCCAGCCACATCCGCACCGAGTCCCGGGCGTCCTTATCCCCTCCATCTGGGGAGAGAGCAGCCAGAGTCAGCACAGCTCAGGGAGCCTGCTCGCCACCACCATTTCCCCCAGAGCGCCAGCAGAGGAGGCAGAACCTGTTCTTTTTGGCAAGCCTTGCTGCCAGACCAGAAAAACGTTGTTGTTTCAGGTTCACTGACAGCTTGGATGCTTTCAAAGAACGGCAAAGAGCTCCCAGATTCTGCATGGTCAGAATTTCCCTGGTTTCCCTGGGGTGGGGTGGCTCAGCTCTGATACCTTTGTCATAGTAGATGCTCATGTCCACGTCCCAGTCATCGGCTGTCTGCTCATCAAAGTCTGCCAAGAGAAGGGAAGCAGCACTTTGGGTGAGGTCTGGCACAGGGGAGCTCTTTGCTGCTGGCCCAGCTCCCTGTTTTCTCCAACAAAATGGGAAGGAATCACAGAATCATTGAGGCTGGAGATCCCCATTCAGTCCAACCGTGACCTTGTCACCAGCCCAGGCCACCGAGTGCCACGTCCAGTCCTTCCCTGGACACCTCCAGGCATGGGGACTGCACCCCTCCCTGGGTCTGATCCCCTTTCCATGGGGAAATTCCTGCTGCAGTCCCCCCTGAGCCCCCCTGGCCCAGCCTGAGGCCGTTCCCTCTCCTCCTGTCCCTGTTCCTGGCAGCAGAGCCCGACCCCCCCGGCTGTCCCCTCCTGCCAGGGACTTGTGCAGAGCCAGAACTTCCCCCTGAGCCTCCTTTGCTCCAGCCTGAGCCCCTTCCCAGCTCCAGCCCCTGCCCTGGGCACTCCCCAGCCCCTCCATGTCTCTGCTGCAGCGCTGGACGCAGCACTCGAGGTCCAGCAGCACAGAGGAAATGGCATTAGAGACTCCCCAGATGCCACTGCCCACCCGAGAGGCTGCCAGCAGCACCACAGGGGTCTCGGGGGGGGTCCCTGGGGGGTCTCTGTGCCCAAGGGAAGGCTCAGAAGCCATGGCAGGGTGTTGGTGGCTCCAGCTGACCCGACCCTTTGAAGCTCAGTGACACAAACACCAAGGTCACCTCCGTCCTGCTCCTGCCAGAACTGGGCATCCGTGTAGAACACGAGGCCAGAGCCGCCCTTCTCCCACTTGAGCTCGATCTCCTCCTCGAAGAGCCGCTCCCGCGCCCGCTCCTGCTGCGTCACGTCCTCGTGCAGCGCCTCGTGCCTCTGCCACTCCTCACACGTGTCATCGTCCTGCAAGGACAGCTGGATGGAGCTGGGGCCACCAGCACAGCCCCCATGTCACACGTGTCATCGTCCTGCAAGGACAGCTGGATGGAGCTGGGGCCACCAGCACAGTCCCTCCTCACAGGTGTCACTGGGGTCACAGCCCCTCCTCACAGGTGTCACTGGGGTCACAGCCCCTCCTCACAGGTGTCACTGGGGTCACAGCCCCCTCCTCACAGGTGTCACTGGGGGCTCCAGCAGGTCCCTCCCCGCCCGCTGGCCGTTCCCAAGGTCCCTCAGCAGCTCCGTGGCAGAGCCGGGCCGGGCGCTCAGGCCCCGACACGAGGGATGAGCTCAGCCCTGACTAACGCCACTGCCAGAGTCAGCAGGAGAAATCCCACAGCACACCCACCCCACGGGCCCCACCTGCCCTGCACTGATGCCCATTTAAGGAGCAGCAGGGCTGGAGCTGGAGTCAGCACTAGCGAGGAATTAATTCCACTGCAGCTGATCCCTGGGGAGATTGCGTGGGCTCCCAGGAGCAGCTCCCTGGCACAGAGCTGGGCACAGCCATTAACCAGCCCAGGAACAGCCAGGAAACAGCCTGGGAGAAGCAGCTGGAGGAGTCTGGTTAGTCTGGAGAAGAAAAGACTGAATAAAAAGCTGGAAAAAGGAGGGAACAAAGCGCTCTCTGTGCCCCGTGTTGCCAGGAGAAAGTAATGGGGTGGAATTGCAGCAGGGGTTTGGCATCTGAGTGCATTGTGGTGGAGGAAAGAACGGGAATGGCTTGCCTGGGGATGTGTAATGACACAGGTTTGGGAGAACAGGCCAGACAGGCGTCTGCCAGGGACAGGGGTGGGATGGCTCCTGCCCTGCCCAGCTCTCCAGGAGCCTTTGTCACAAAAGCCATTTTCCTCAGAGTGACTAAACTCCAGGGCAGGAGCGTGTGAGGTCAGCCCTTTGTGCAGCTCTGCACGTCACTCCCAGCACACCAACAGGGTCCCCAAGCTCTGTCACAGTTCCCAGCACACAAACAGGGTCCCCAAGCTCTGTCACCTCAGTTCCCAGCACACCAACGGGGTCCCCAGGCTCTGTCACAGCTCCCAGCACAGCAGAGCTGTGCCCACGTGCCAGGCAGCAGGGCAGGGTCTGCTGGGCAGCACCAGCCTCCCCTCTGCTCCCCCTCAGATCAGACCCTTTGGGACCACCCTGAGCAGTTCTAGGGGCTCCAGGCCCCCCTGTGGTGAACAATCTCATTTAAAACTGCTTTTAACGAGCCATTTATCCAACTGAGAGGTTAAAAATGAGCTCTGAGAGTGGGACCTGCCCTCACAGCTCCAACGGCTGAGCCTGGATGGCGCTGGAATATTCCACTTACATCACCCGAGCTCGACTCCTCTTCCTCCTTCTGCTGCCCCTCCTCAAGGTCCTGGGGCCGGGCTGGCTGAGTCAGCCCCACGGGCTCCTCTCCCTCGGTGATCTCATCCCCTGCAGCCGTGTAAACTCCTCCTTCCTCAGCCACCGTCTCAGTGCCCTGGTATTGGAAGGGCACGTTCCCATACCTGCGGGACGAGCCAGTCCTCGGGAAATCCAGCTGCAGCTTCTTGATGAGGCGGGGGGGCAGGCGGCAGGCCCGGATCAGCTCCAGGAACACGCCCAGGGGGGTGCCCACGTTCCCAAAGGGCATGAACGAAGGGGGGTTGAACTCGGGCAGCCGCTTCAGCTCCGCCTCGGTGACACATCCCCCGGGGACTGATCCCCCGGGGACACTTCCCTCGGTGACAGATCCCTCGGTGACAGATCCCCCGGGGACACATCCCCCAGCAGCCGCCCTGTCCTCGCTGCTGGGAGACACCTGGGGGGCTGTGGGAGAGCAGGGATGGGTTTGAGGGGTTCAGGAGAGCAGGGGGGGTTTGGGGGTCCAGGAGAGCAGGGATGGTTTGGGGGTTCAGGAGGGATGGTTTCGGGGTTCAGCAGGGATGGTTTGGGGGTTCAGGAGAGCAGGGATGGTTTCGGGGTTCAGGAGGGATGGTTTCGGGGTTCAGGAGGGATGGTTTCGGGGTTCAGGAGGGATGGTTTCGGGGTTCAGGAGGGATGGTTTCGGGGTTCAGGAGGGATGGTTTCGGGGTTCAGGAGGGATGGTTTCGGGGTTCAGGAGGGATGGTTTCGGGGTTCAGGAGGGATGGTTTCGGGGTTCAGGAGGGATGGTTTCGGGGTTCAGGAGGGATGGTTTCGGGGTTCAGGAGGGATGGTTTCGGGGTTCAGGAGGGATGGTTTCGGGGTTCAGGAGGGATGGTTTCGGGGTTCAGGAGGGATGGTTTCGGGGTTCAGGAGGGATGGTTTCGGGGTTCAGGAGGGATGGTTTGGGGGTTCAGCAGGGATGGGATGGTTGATGGTTTGGGGGGTCCCGCACCCCACTGCGGGTGGGTAAGTCCCGGCGCTCCCGAGTGGGAGGGGGATCAGCAGAGCCCAGCCGGGCTCTCCCCGCCCCGGAGCAGGTTTAAAGCGTTCAGGGAGCGGAATGAGGAGTTTTCAGCCCCCGGTGCCCCCGGGACCCGAGCCCCCCGTACCTGTCCCGGGGCTCAGGCGGACCCTGCGGATGAGGCAGCGGCCGGGCAGCGCGGCGCCGCCGGGCCCGAGCCAGCGCTTCCCCGAGTACATGCGGACGAAGCTGCGGGCCCGGCCGGGCCGCACGGACACCAGGCACGAGCAGGTGCGCGGCGCCGAGGCCCCGCCGCCGCCGCCCGCTGGCGGGCGCTCGGGCCGGTGCCGGTAGTGGAAGCAGAGGAATCCGCCGGCCTCCAGGAACTGGCTGAAGTAGGCGCGGAGATGCGCGGAGCGGAGCGCGGCCGGGATGCCGCTCACCAGGCAGTACCGGGCCGCGCCGCCATCACCGCCGGTGTCGCTGGGAGCCGCCATCTTGGCCCGACGCTGCCGGCGCGCGGTGATGACGTAACCGCGCGACGCGGGGAGGAGGGCGCCGCCTGGTGGCGGAGGAGCGCGCGGCAGGCGGGGAGTGCTGGGGGACAGGGACAGAAACCGGGGGGGGCAGGGGACAGAAACCATGAGGGGTGTGACAGGGCCTGGGGGGCACAGGGACAGAGACCGTGAGGGGGTCCCAGGGATGGTGACAGAGACCCTGGGGTGCCACAGGCCTTGGGGACCAAGGTACCCCATTGCTGTGGGTTTAACAGGGCCCAGGCTCACATGGCCGGCCTGACAAACTCTGAGGGTCACAAGCCCCGGGGGTTTCAGGGGCTGGGGGTGTCTGGGGGTGTTCCTCATGCCACACCAGGGCTCTGGCCCTGTCCCCGTTCAGTGCCAGGACCTTTGCTGCCAGCCCGTGTCCCACGGCCATCCCGTGGGGCTGTGGGGATCCTGTGGGGCTGAGGGGATCCCGTGGGGCTGAGGGGATCCTGTGGGGCTGGGGGATCCTGTGGGGATCCTGTGGGGCTGTGGGATCCTGTGGGGCTGTGGGGATCCTGTGGGGCTGCCAGGATCCCGTGGGGCTGTGGGGATCCCGTGGGGCTGAGGGGATCCCGTGGGGCTGTGGGATCCCGTGGGGCTGTGGGGATCCTGTGGGGCTGTAGGATCCCGTGGGGCTGAGGGATCCTGTGGGGCTGTGGGGATCCTGTGGGGCTGAGGGGATCCCGTGGGGCTGTGGGATCCCGTGGGGCTGAGGGGATCCCGTGGGGCTGAGGGGATCCCGTGGGGCTGAGGGGATCCCGTGGGGATCCCGTGGGGCTGCCCGGGCCTGGCGCTGCCCGTGGGCACTGAGGTGAGTCAGGCGTTCTCTCCGGGTGGAAAAAGGCCGTCACGGGCTGACGCAGCGCCTCTTCCTCACACCGCGCTGCCAGCCAAGGTTCCGGCTGTTTCCATGGGCACGGGAGGCTTTGGTGCAGCCTTCCCCACACCTCAGCTGTGCCAGCCATGGAAATGGGGTTTGTGCCGTGGCAGCCGGCTGAGTCAGAGCTGCCGCCTCTGACAACACCCACGGGAGAGGCTCAACACCTGGACCCCAACACCTGGAACCCAACACCTGGAGAAAGGTGAAATGTGGGGATTTGCCCCCGGGAATTCCTGTGTGCTGGGAGCACCCAGGGGCTGTTCATCCAAAACACCAACATTTTATTAAAAAAATAATTTATTGCATCTTATATACAAACCACACAAATGTTCACTTATAAAATACTGACACCTCACCTGCTGGAGGCAGGAGGAGCAAGTTTTCCAGGTGTGCACCTGGCTCTAACTCCAGGGAGGGAGGTTTGGATCTCCCACTAAAGCAGCTCTGCTCGGGTTTAACTTTTCACAGTCAGGAAAGCCCAGAGCCCCACATGAGGTGCAGTAGGTTTAGGTGTTCCTAAATGCTCTTAATCCTGTTGTATCTCATGGAATTATGGAGGAAAAAGGGAATCTAATGAAAAGGGGGGTGAGTCTGTACACCCTGTAGGATTTAACACTCTGGCTTTTTCCCTGAAGAAGTTTCCTGATTATTTCTGAGATTCCAAGCACAGAAGCCAGACCCAGAGCTCATTCCCTAATGTTTGCCCTCGGTTGGTGATCCCACGGCTGTCAGGCACCGTGGGACCAGGCTGAGGACAGCCCTCACTGCCTGGAGCTCACAGCAAAATGAGTGAAACCCGGGGCCAGGGCAGGGAACCCCTTGGCCACACACACTCCCAGCACTGGAGACCGCCCAGGCAGAGCCGCAGCTGCTTCCCCAGGGCTGCTCCAGCCCCAGTGAAACACAGCAGAGTCCGGAGAGCTTCTCCCCAGCCCCTGCTCAGCAGGGCAGGGGCAGCCACGGGGCCTGTGGCCACCCTGCCACCTCGAACAGCATCTCCACCAGCAGCTCCCCCATGCCGGCGTCCCCGATGACGGGCCGGAAGAACAGATCGGTGACGAGGGCGGCGGGGATGGATCTCGAGGAGGAGGTGACCCGTAAGATGCGGGAGAAGCGGCCCTGGCCCTCGGGGTGCAGCAGCTCCCGCAGTGCTCGCTGGGCTTCCCACTGCAGGCTCTCGATGTAGAGCGGAGCCCTCAGCCCGGGGATGGCTGCGAGGGACAGGAGGGAGAGAGGGAGATGAAGGATGGGAAACAGCTCCAGGTTTCTCCCAGTCCCACCCTTCTGCAGTTCTCAGAAGGGATCTTTGGGGCCACACACACTTAAGGAGATGCACACACTGAGGCATAGCTGCTCCAGGGATGCTGTGTGAGGGAGGGAAAGCACTCAACAGGCAAAATCACGCTTTCAAAGTAAAGGAATCCAGGATTGATTTATTGTCTGCAGATCGGGCAAAGGTTCTGACATCCTTCCTTCCTGCCTCCCAGTGCATTTAGGAATGACAAGAGTTAGGGAAAAGGTGACCAGCCCTTTCTGCCCTCACACCTGCCCCTCTCTGAGCATCTCCAAGCCACGAGGCCTGGGTTCATCTGGGAAGGTGGTGGAGTCCCTATCCCTGGACACGGCACTCAGTGCTCTGGGCTGGTGACAAGGAGGGGAGTGGCACAGGGCGGACTCCACGGTCTGGGAGAGCTTTTCCAGCCTCAGCGACTCTGGGATGCCGTGATGGTGTGCCCAGCTGCCAGCGCTGGCCAGCAGAGCCACGAGGGCCTGGCACTCACCTGGATTGAAGAGGATGGCTCCCCTCAGGTAGGTGAATTCGCTGGGGCTCAGGTCCAGCCTCCAGAAGCTGTTGAGGCACCACTGCAGCCGCTGCACGGCAGCCAGCGTGGGCTGCGTCCCCTCGGGCTCCTGCCCTTTGCTCTGGCCGCTGAGGAGGATCTTCTTGAGCATGCTGGGGGCCGGGGCCTCCATCACCTCGAAGGTCACCATCTCCTGCACCAGCCCCAGCAGGAAGAGGGGCACCCAGCAGCTGTCCAGCAGCAGCAGCTGATCCTCCCGTGGCAGCAGGTGGAAGGCAGCGACGTTCTTGACAAAGTTGATGGTTTTGACCAGCACGTCGGAGGCGGCCCGGCAGGTGACGTGCGGCGTTCGCAGGCACACGGCGCGGCGCTGGTGGCACAGGCAGCGCTGCCGGGCCCCTCCGGGGCGCAGCTCCTGGCTCAGCAGCGTGTACAGGATGGCGGGGTGCTTGTCCTTGCTGTGGCACTGGCACCTCTCACACTCCGTATCCACACCGGTGCTCATGGCTCAGCCGGCTGCTCGTCGAAACTCCCGTCAGCTGGCAGGAGAGAGGCGTAAAATCCCAAAATATCACAGATTCTCCCCGTCCTCCCAGCTCTGCCGGCCCGTGGCTGCTCGGGGCGGCTCTTATAGGGCCGGGTCACAGTGAACTCCCCTCCGCAGCCTTGACCGCCCTGATTAAGCAGCCCTCATTAAAACCACCCGTGGTTGCTGGGCTGATTGGCCGGGCCAGGCGAGCTCCCAGCGCGGTCAACGGCCGTTTTCTCAATGAATCGGCACGGGAGGGGTTGTGTGGCCTTATCAGGATTACCCAAACAGGATAAACAGAGTCATTACCCCAGGCTGTACCATGGCACCAAGGCCCCATGGAGCAGGTGTCGCTGCCAGGGTTCACAGACAAACACGGGGCGCTCGTCTGGGCCCGCGGCTCAGCGGCCTTGGCAAAGCGACCTGCAAGTTGTGGAAGTTGTGTTATCAGCGCCTGTTTGCCTGGCCTTGCTCGGGAGCCGCTTGTGCAGGAGGAAGAGGAACCTGGTGAACTGCCAGGCTGTGATGGGCCCGGGGCGGGCTCGTGTCTCTCACAGGAAACACAGGGAAAATTCTCCCCTTTGCAGAATGAGAGATAAAATTCTCGTATTTTCCCAATGGGAAGGGCCCCGGAGGTGCTGCTCGGCAGCCGCTGAACGCGAGCCCAAGCGGGCAATGACTGTTCAGTTTGTTGAGGCAAACGGCGGCAGCAGCTCTGGGCCCCTCGCCGCAGGACAGACACCGAGCGTGTCCCGGGAAGGGAGCGGAGCGCCAGGGGCGGCTGAGGGAGCAGCGGGGGCTCGGAACGGAGGCTCGGGGCTCGGCTCCGGCCCTCAGCTCCCGGCCAGGAGCGGCCAGGCCCGGCACCCGCGGCCCGCCCCGCCCGTCGCCATAACAACCCCGCCGCGCCTCGCGCCCCGCCTTTTCCTGCGAGATTGACAGCGCTCGCGACCAATCAGCGAAGAGAGCTGCGCGGGGGAGCGCTGGGATTGGCGGGTGCGGCGCGTCTCGCGCTTCCGCGCGCGGTTGCGGTTCCGGTTCCGGTTCCGGTTCCGGTGGCGGCCCGGTGCGGGAGCGGCGGCGCGATGGGGCTGAGCGCGGAGGAGGCGGCGGAGCAGGAGGACCGCTTCGACGGGATGCTGCTCGCCATGGCCCAGCAGCACCAGGGCGGCGTGCGCGAGGTAGCGCCGCCGGCATCGGGAGCGGGAAGGGCGGGCAGGACCGGAGGAGCGAGCGGGGAGCGGCCCGGCCTCCTCGGGCCCCGCCCCGGCACGTGGAGCAGGGGACGCACGTGCGCTGCTCCTGGAGCGCCGATAACGGCCCCCGGCAGCGCCAGTCCCATCGTTAATTAGCGTGGTGTTAATGAGGCGCCTCCGGGCCGCCCTGAGCCCCCCGGGCCGGGCCGGGACCGGGACCGGGAGAGACCCCCGGGAACATCGAGCTCCCGTTCAGCCCCCAGCACAACCCCGTGAGGCCTGGCCGTGATCCTGGGATCCCCTCGTGCTCGGGATCTGCTCAGACACCCTGATCCCAGCCTAAACCCTCCCTGATCCCACCCTGATCCCAAATCCCACCCTGATCCCAGCCTGATCCCAAATCCCACCCTGATCCCAAATCCCACCCTGATCCCAGCCTGATCCCACCCTGATCTCACCCTGATCCTTCTGCTGGGGGCTCCAGGATCCAGGCCCTCACCTGCAGCAGGGCTGGCGGGTGTGGGAACATCCCACTCACAAATGACTTTTTAAAAGTGTTCCTGTAACAGCCCCTCGTGTTGTGGCAAAGCTCTGACTGAAAACCCTGCAGGACAGGATTCCTGGGAAATAAAGATCAGCCAGGTCCAAGGAGAATATGGGTTTCTAGAGGGGGTGTGGAGCTGCTGGTTCATTCACTGGTGATCCCTGGCAGCTGTAAAAATAAGGATTTTGCATGCTTTTAGGTGTGCAAAGAAGCACAATATATGTGTGTGTATATATGGGATAGAGGTGTGTCTGCATCTGTAAATCCGTTCCTGCCTTGGGTAACAGCCTGGAATAAACTGCAGCAAACCACACAAACTCCTCCTCTGCAAGCTGGGAATCCAGGGCTGGATCTCCAGAGCTGGGTGTTCTTCAGGCAGGTTTTCTTCAGGGGCTGAATGCAGGGCGATGCTGGCACAGCCACAGATGGGGAGGACAAAGGATAAAGGCTGCTCCAGAGACACGAGGTGGCCTCACTGCTCAGTGACCTGGCTCACTGCTCCTTTTCTCTGCACCCTCTCCCTGTTCCCCAGCTCGTGAACACCTTCTTCAGCTTCCTGAGGAGGAAGACGGATTTCTTCACCGGGGGAGAGGACGGAGTAGCAGAGAAGGTAACAAACAAACCTTCAGCCTTTAACTCTTCTCCCTTCCATCCCACCCGTGCCTGTGCCGTGCCAAGGGTCCCCTGCTTGGACAGCTCCCAGCATCTGGGGGCAGGTAGGCAGCTCCTGAGGGCAGGAGACCCAGAGCTGCCCCTGTCAGAGGTGAGGAGCGCACAGTTCCCTGCTCGCCTGGTGGCACAGCGCGGGTTTCTGGCCAGGCTCTGGCCAAAGGCTAGTTTGGAAAGCAAAGCTGCCAGACACACTGACTTAACGGTGACACAGCAGGTGATAACCCCACGTTACCTCGTTTGTTCAGCTCAGGAAAAGCACAAAGTCCACGGCTCTGCACAGGCAGCTGCCCCTTGGCTGGGCTGGGGAGCCTGGACGGAGCATCCCCATCTCCTGCAGGGCAGCTCTTGCTGGGTCTGGAGGAGCTTTAAGGGCCTTTGGACCCAAAACATCCTGTGGTTCTCTGAAAGAAAGAAAGGCGAACCCTACTGCCACTTTTCTTAGAACAGAGAGCAAATCTCTCCCGTTCCTGGGGGCTGTGTGATCCCACTGGATCAATTCAGAGGGGCTACTGTCCTTGGCAAGTGTGTGCCTGTGGAAGAAAAGGCTCAGTGCCCTTGGGTGGTGGCATGTGTCAGAACGCTTTTTGGCCTCCTGGAAAAGCGCTCTGACACCGTGGCACCCACAGCAAACGGGGAAGGAGCTGCTTCCCCAGTCCTGCTGAGCCCTGGGCACGAAGGAGAAAGGAGAGGGGGAGAAATGCATTTTTTGGGTGCCATTTCAGCAGGTTCGTGTGGGGTGAGGGAGGTGTGGACAGTGACATGGACAAGGTCAGGCAGTGAAGACAGCTTCCTCACCATGGATGATCGGGTTGGGAACAGGCTGGGACGTCCTGGGGGATGCACATTTTGCATTCTGTACTCCAGGAGACGCTGGAGTTGAGCTGTGTAAACAAACCTTGTTTGTAGAGCAGAGCAGAAATACCCAGTGCTTGCTTACAAACTAAGTTTGCCGGGAAAAGGTTCTGGATTTTCCCCCCACCCTGAAGCTCCTGGGATGTTTATAAATAAATTTTCCCTCTCTAATTCCTTTCTGAGGATCTGTCTCTGTTGTTTTCTGGGGCAGACCTCAGCTCACCTACGTGCTGCTCTGCACAGCACCCCTGGCCTTATCGAGCCTGGGGCAATTCTCTGGCTCCCTGCCTGTGTACTCAGCTTTCCCGCTGAGCACGCGGCCCTTGGCATCAGAGACCTTGGGATTTTGCCTCCCAGAGTCACAACAACCTCTGGAGAATTGGGAGGCGAGGCTGAAACAAAACATTTACGGTGGAACTCACCCCTCAGTGTAAGAACACGGGGCTGTTTCAAGCATTTCTCCTCTAAATCATGGCACTGGGCTCCTTCTGGAGAAAAGCCCCAGGTGTGGAGAGGTCAGAAGGAGGTGAAAAAGTTGGATCTGGTGTGTCCAGCTGTCCTGGAGGTGTGGAGTAGCTTCAGATGGCTGGGGTGGGCATCAGCTCGTCCTGCTGGAATTGCACAAAGGACAAAATAAGTGGAGGATTTTTATTTCACTGTTATCTCCTGGAAAAGGAGATTCTAGTTACTCTAGTAACTAGTTACTAGTTACTAGTCCCTA